GCGGCGCGGCTGGGCCCGATCCGTGCGGATGGAACGGAGAGGAGAGCGGGTCTGCGGGGGGAAGCGAAGGGAGGTGGGAACATGCGTCTGGGAGTAGTTTCACCGAAATGCGCCGCCTTCTTTGTGTCTGTCAAGGTTTGCATGGAGAATATTAATTTCGGGGGGGGAAGGGGAAGGGGAAACCCGTGAGTGCGTGCTAAAAAAAAGAGCTGATGTGCAGAGCTGTGTGGAGACGGGTCCTGGTCTGTAGCCTAAATCACTTAAGAGTCACCTGGCTCTCGTGATGGGTTTAATAAAAGGGCAGTGCGTATGTCACTTTTATTGTTCCATTAAGTATTTTTTTTGTTCTGCAGCTAGTGGCATTCTGGCTATTGACAAGGCCAGGGAGCCCATCACCTTAGTACTGGCAGAAGATGGTACCATTGTGGATGATGAAGATTACTTTTTGTGTTTGCCATCTAACACCAAGTTCGTGGCATTGGCCAAGAATGAGAAATGGTCCGGTAAAAGCTTAGGTACTCTGTGGATGAGGGAGGGGTGTTTGGAATACACCGAGTGAAATTAGGCTGTCTCAGGTGGGTCGGGAATGACCCACGAAACTGATGACTCTTGTGTCAGACAGCGGAACAGCCTGGCTCTCGGAGTCTGTGGATGAAGTGGACAGTGCTGCAGAGAAGTGGAAGCAGCTGGCCAGGCAGCTGAAGGATGACCTGTCCAATATCATCTTGATGTCTGAAGAAGACCTCCAGGTACAGTGGGGAAGCTTCCAACTGCTGTCCTTGGCTCTGCCCATCATCCGTTTATCTTAGTGGATGGCAGAGGACAGAATAAGTAAACAAAATCTCGAGCTTAATCCAGCTGCTGCTGGTTAGGTGTGGTGCCAGGGTCAAATTTCTCCTTGAGGGGAAACACTCATGTTTGAGGAGGATGCTCTTAATCGCTGATTGCCCCTCACAGCATGTCTCTCCGATTCTGGCAGCGGGAGGGCAAAAAGTTAAGATTTGGCCAAATGGCAACTGAGGTGGGCTCCCTCCTTAAAACCAGACACCTGCATAATGTGTCAAAAGGGAAGGCTGAGCAGCATGCCAAATCTTGTCTGCTCCAGAGGGGTTTGAAGAACTGCTGTCAGTTTCCAGAGCTGGTTGATTGGAATATCTGACTGCTTAACACCTTGTACGTGGCAAGGCGTGGTGATAAACTGCCTTTCCTTGTCCTCCTACAACGTGCAGCTTCCCAAGTGCCAGGCTGTTGGCTTTCCTTTGTGTATTCCCATGCACCCTTAAGAAGTGGCACTTTGATTGCCAGGAGTTGACATGATTTCTGTTAAAAATGCACATGATTCCATACCTTCCTGGATGCCTTTTGGCTTCTGGTAAAGAATGCTGGCTGGTGGCCTGCCACCACAGCCTCTCATAACTAGGCTGACTTGCTATGACAAGAAACCTTGTGAATCATGCTGGGTTTCATGAAGGTGGAGGCTCTGTCACTCGGAAGGCTTGCTGTTTTTACTGTAAGCAGCGTAATGGAATGAGTTAGTCCGTCAGTCCATGTAACAGGAGCACTCTCATTGTTTTAAGGTGCTTATTGATGTACCACGGGCAGACCTGGCAGAAGAACTTGCCCAAAGTCAAACCAAAATCCAAGTATTGCAGGACACCCTGCAGCAGGTGCTGGACAGACGAGAAGAAGAACGCCAGTCAAGACAGCTCCTGGAACTCTACCTAGAGGCCTTGAAAAATGAAGACAGTATCTTGAGCAAAGTAGCAGGTAGGGAGCATTAGGATGCTAGAGAAGGAGCTTTTCAGAGATGCCTGAAACAGTTGGGTGGAATAAATAAAGCAGAATGAAAGACTGGAGTGAGTCACTTGCTTAGCAGCTGTTAATGTGGTTGACGTAATAGCTGGTATAGTGTAAGAATTCTCTGGGTCAGACCAGGAGTCCTCTCACTGCTGTGTCACATTTCTCACAAGGCCTGAAAGTAGAATACTGGGGGGAAAAGGTTAAATCATGTAGTTGTCCTTAATGCTATGCATTTCTTAAGTTAGAGGATGCACCTAGATATAATGTGTATTTTGTTAATCTCAAAACCATCAAGGCTGTCCAGGCCACTTTTCCTGGCCTGTGTTTGTCACGGGCCATAATGATTCTGCTACTTTTCAGAATCTGAGACTATACCAAGAAAGGAGATGGATGTGGTTGACTCAGGTACCAGCAGTACAGGCACTTCAGCCAAAACGGTGCTCAGTGACCAGCTCCTTGCTGCTCTGAAAAAGAAACCTGCTCCAGAGCTCTGCTTGGACAGTCAAGATCTAGAGGTGGGTGAGAATAACATAACCGTATTCTGGCAAATCTCTCCCTCTGGAGAGAGAGTTTATAGGGGAAGCTGTTCTTGCTTCTGGAGGCTCTAATGTCAGTATATCTCAGTCTCAAAGTGGTGAGATTTAATCTATTTCTCTTTGTCAGTAACACAACCCCTTGCTTGCAGCTCCTCTGTAAGAGCCAGTTGACACTATTCCAAGTAATCTAGTCTGCCCTCTGAAAAGCCACAAAATAATTTTGATCTCTGCCAAATCATAGTCAGCCAGTGCCTCAGCTGTCTTACCAGCAAGTTTTTTTTTCTATGCAGATGCATCTAGCTGTATTTATACGTCCCAAATCAAAATAAAAACCTTATTTTGGAAAAGTAAATAAACCCATAGCTTGAAAAGGAAAGTCGAAGTAAACTTTAGCCATTAGAAAATGTGTTCATTCTAATGCTATGAACTTGCTCCTCATGCTTTTCCCTGCTGTAGAAACTTAAGTAACTGCTTTTTGCTCCTTTGAATATCTCAGTATAGCTTCAAGCTCTAAGTGTTGGTAGAATATTGAAAACACAATAGCCCATGGGATAGATGATGAAAGCTGGGAACATCTTTGGTAGCAAATTGCCAGTATTAAACAGGTGTCTCATTACCGCTGTTCTTAACGTGGGCAGAGGGGCTAGAGGTGGAGGAGCGTTAGTAGAAAAGACTGTTAGAAATCTGTCTTGCTACAGCTGGTCTTGAAAGAAGACTCACAAGCCCTGGCCTCGGCTCTGAGATGGGACAAGCAGAAAGCTGAAGCTCTGCAACAAGCCTGTGATCAGGAGCTCTCCAAGCGGCTACAACAAGTGCAGACTTTGCATTCCCTAAGGAGCATGTCAAAGGGCAAGAAAACACTGCCCTGGGGAGACTGGATTAGTTCAAAACGCAAAAAATAAGTGCTGCCTTTTTCCCCCCCATTAGAAGAGATACAAGCAAGAGATATCCTGGGAGTCACAGTTTGCTGGTCATGCTGTGGTCTGGCTATAGACAACTAAAATCTGGATGTTGTCCTGAGGCTTAAGCTCTTGTGGTGATTCAAATCATGTGTAACCAAAGGGATTTTGACATGCTGCAGAATACTAGAACAATGGTATTACTAAACACAGCATGTAGGGGTTCAGCTTTGAATACCGGGTTGGAAGCCAGAAGCTTCCATTGGATCATGATGGATCTAGCTTCTGAAGCCCCAGGCAGATAGCTTGCTTTGTCCTCCCACCATGTTCAATGTAAAGGCTGGCAGACCTCATGGAAGACACTTTAAGGCACAGTTAACAAACAGAAAGAAGACACTTGGACGATTGCTCACTGAACACAGTGTCCTCATTCTTAGGTAGGGTTTATTGTGATTTGGACTAGCTAAGCTGTCATTGTGCAGTTTTTCCAGCTGCTGTCTGCTTTAAGCTTCAGCCTGAGATCTAGGAACTTGAATTCTCATGCTAATTTCATCAGTTAAAGTATTCAAAGTCCTTTGACTTATGTGCTTTTTCTGTTAGGAACTCCAGCCTCTTGGATGCAGTGTAAGCACTAACTTGTAAAACACAGCAAAGGTGGAAATACGTGGTTTGTAAGGCTGTGGGGCAGGAGACTTGTATTTGGCCTGCCTGTATTACTGTCCTAATCATTAATATAGTATCATGATGCTTTTGTATTAACTGGCTTATTTTTAAATGTGTTAAAGTCTTTTTTTCCAATTCATTAAAACTGATTTACCTTACTGTTGGACTAGTTTTGATATTCCTACCAGCTGCTATGATTAAAGAATGTGCTGATAAACCTTAAGGATAGAGGAGGAAGAAATTAAATATAGAAGTACTCTGTATTTAACCTGTCTGAACTTGGCAGTGGGAATTCTACTCCTCCTGCTGTACAAGAGGAAAGAAGGGTTTTACCTGTGGCTTTTTCACATCTACTTTTAAAATAGCAGATACACACAGGATTGAAGTAATTGTGCTATTAGGAGTATTTAACTCACCTACTTCCAAGCAAACACTGAGGTGGAGTCACAGAGACCACGCTGATCACTCCTGTAGGAAGGCAGTGGTAATCCTTCCAATCTAGCCTTAAGATAAAAAACAAATGGAGGGTTTTCACTGCTGCTTTTTCCTCTTTTGTCAAGGTTTAGTTGCCTATAAATTATTAAATGCTGCAGTTCTTATGTTACAGAATTCAATTTTTCAACTAGACCTAGCATAGTATGATTTAAACTGTTGCTTTTGTCTTAATTGTTCTGTTCTAATCTAACAATCAGGTTTTCATAATCTGATGCGAGCTGCAGTTATACCTATCCTAAAGCTGAGCTGGCATTTTGATAGTAATATTGACTATTATTTGCAAAAAGAGCAGGTATATAATACTTAACTCTCTTCAAAGCTCTCCTACAGCTAACATCCTTCAAAAGTCTCCAGGAAAAATGCGAAGCAATTAACTACCAACTGAGAGACTTCAATGCTGCACATCATCCTGTAATTTCTGTAAAAAATCCTTTTTTAGTGGTCAAGTTTAGATATTGCTTCTTAGAGCTGTTTCAGTAGTGCAATCGATCAAAGGTGAAAACTGCTAAAACATCTCAATGAGTTTTTTTTAAACCTAACAGTACAATTATCCTTATAAACGGATTTTTTTTTTTAGTGTAGACTTTACTATAGATCTTTAGATCATTATTATTCTGAAAGTAGTTTCATAGCTAGAATTTCCTCTTGGTGATAACAAAGAGCTGCTGCCAGATGTGGTATTTCCACAGCAAATAATCACAAAGCTTTTCAGTAAACAATCTTTAACTGTTGGCCAGTATATACCAGTAGTGTATATGCATGTGTGTTTGGAGAGGAAGTTACAGGAGATTTTAGCTGAGACGTAAGCTCACAGACAACATCGGAGCTAACAAACTTTGAGACATATTATTTCTCTTCCTGACATGTGGGTCTTAATGACCTCAAAAAAACCCAAAAATCAGGTAAGTTGTGCAATAAACATCCACTATGATATCAAAATGATATCATCTACTATAATACCAAAATGCTTGATGCTTCTAAAGGCCTAGGAGTCCTGTGAAATAAATACCAATTTTCTGCTCAAGAAAGGAATAGGATAAACAATAGAAGGAAATCAATTAGAACTGTGCATGTCTTGATAACCAGATGATGATAGAAGTTGCTCCTTTAGGGACAGAACAGTGGATAAGAGCAAAAGATACCTGATCATTTTTTGCTTATCTTTCAGAGTCAGGATAAACTTTCTACCTAAAACATGCTCTGTAATCTAATTTAACCTTAAATTAGATCTACATTTCATAGACAGAAAGTATGTTTGATTTATATAAGCTGCATGGAGATTTTAACTATGCAAAAATTAGCATTTCCTTCATCTTATTCCTGTAATATTTAAGAAGCTTTAACTTGAACAGGGTGACTGAGCTGTAAAAGGCAGGTTACTATCAGATAGCTACAGTCTAAAAAAGTCATGGTTTTTTACCCTATCCACTACTGCTTCACAGCTCAAATACAGAGCAAAAAATAAAAGGGAGCACATGTAAGGAGTCCAGAGCGTTACTCTTTTTCCATTGTGTCATATATAGCTGAGTGACTCTAGTCCAGAAAGTGCACTCTTCTTTCAAGAGAAAGGTTTTAAACAAGGAGCAAGGCTACACCTAGAAGTTCTCAAACGTGATCAAAAATATTCTGTCAGCTGGTACCTTCTTTATCTTGGGGTAATATTTAAGGTATGAGTCTTACTAAAATGAGAACCTGATGACTTTAAACTTGGTTTTGGGGAATTGCCCCAAGCTGTATCCTTCAGGAAGGAACAAGTGGCTTCAAGGAAGAACTCGTCTCATGAACCAAGGACTGAGCAAGAGAAATGGTGTTCAAGTCTTTCCTCTCTTGCTGCATATTTTAGACTATCTATCTGTGCAAGCATATTCTTGCTTAATAAAGTTTGCCCACACAGGAGCTTAAGCAGCCTTCTCATTTCACTTGGCTACTGTATCTGTGTAATACCTTAGGTCTTTAAATCTGTTGCTTTTGAATGAACAGCATTTGGTAAGTCTCTGTCAGTCCAGCAGAGGGCAACAGTGATACATTTCTAACCATCACTCCGGAGACTAAAGTAAAATTTAGAAATTTAATGCAACTTACTGAAAGTGAGCATTGTACACCAGCAGTATCACAGGTGAAAAATGACACAAAACGAGTTTTAATTGGCAAGACAAGTGAGAGATGTGGCTATTAAAACAAAACCAAAATACTCAAAATACCTAAGCTAAAGTATCAAAAAAGGAAGCAAGGAGGAATTAAAACAATTACTGGAGAAACTAAGTAGCAGCATGGAGGGAGTTGCACATACTAAGGTATTATGGTCAGTAAGAATGTTGTTCTTTAAACTTTAAATAAAGGATTTTCTTTTTAATAAGAGTAAGATACCTTTTTGTAAGCAATTAAGGCATTTTGGCTGTAAGCTTTACTGAATTCTGACAGACCTTTCATTTTTGGAACAAAAAATACAACTAATCACATTCACCTAAAAACCTAAAGATTCATTACCATTGCTAACCTGCAAGAGGAATCTCTAAGAGGCTAACTTGGGTTCTTCTAGGTAATTACAGAAAATGACCAGAGACATTACTTGAAAAGGTAAATCATGCCATGTTGGAATCTTCACTTTCAGTCACAGCTGCTTCTGGTTCCCCAAAAGTTCTCCCTCCCTTAGCTGCACTGGACTTCTTTTTCTTCTTCTCCTTTTGCTCCATGTTACTTGATGCAAGCTCTTCACTCTTCTGGGTGATATACTTTAGCTGAGAACAATAAACTAATCAGTCATCTACTGAGGAACTTCATTTATTCATGAGAAATTAGAGAGCAATGTTTAAGAGAAATTAACAGAGCAAATTCTTATTACAAAAAAGATGACAGACACTCCAAAAAGGTGGACAAACATCAACTAATTTTAATTCTTGCACAAAGCCCTCAGTCTAAACTGGATTTCCTCAGATATTGAAATGCCCTGGCAAAACTAGGATTTATGTATGTATGTTACATCCATCTCTAGAACCAAGACAGCATCATTAGCAGTTACTCAGAGTTGTAGTTTACCGAGATACAAGTACAGAAACATTGCAAGATTCCTCTGCACCCACTTGACATAAACAGCACACGATAGTTAGGAACACAAAATTAATCTCCAGCATTTATTATGCCTTCTCAGGCAAGTTCATGTTGCATATGTCAAATCACAGATGGAAGGAAAAAGTCCCCTCACATAAAATTAGTATTGGAAGTATTCTTCTTCATGGAAGTATTTACAAGCATGTCTTAACACATCAGTGAATTTAAGTCCACTGAACGTCATACAGATCAGCACATGAGAGAACACAATAATGTGAATCACCCCTATATTAATGTTAGTAGACTCAGCACCTCAAGGTGGAGTCAAGCTATTCCTGACCCCAAGCTAAAAAAAAAAGGAACACAACATCAGGAAAAAAAAAAAAAAAGTTATTTACTTCCAAGATTGACAATGCTGTAATGTGTCTGTTTATTGCACTTTTGTACTTGGAACCCCAGCAGCCCTATTGCAACCAGAACACTACTGCCTGAATTGCAATCAGATCTGTGTTTCCACAGTGATGCAGTGCCGTGAAGCTTAAGCAACAGTTGCTTCATCATCTATAGCCTTCATTCAAATGCTCTTAGGAATTAACCAATGGGTTTAAGAACTTTGTGAGAGAAAACACGGTGAATCTCACCAAAGAATTGCTCCTTCTAGCCAAAAGCTTCACATCTTCTGTAGTGACTGTGCTTCGTTTTGCATGCCTGCATAAAATTTAAAAATACCACTTAATGTGTTTGCCAACAGAGGCTGTACAACATCTAATTCAGAACACTAACTAAAAGGGCTTAACAGGGAGCCAGTAAACCAAACATGATTATCTTTTCCAACCGTAACACACAAAAGCCTATTTTACAAGTTTGCATGTGTACATCTAAGTTCCCACACTTTCTGTGTAAAAACAGTAGAATTTAGCAACCAGAACTTCAAGCACCACTGTTCCGTTCCCTCTTGTTAGTAGGTCACTGTTGTGACTCCTTGAAACATTCTTTTACCTCCTTGGAGCAACCAGATGAAACACAGGCATGCTAGTAAGTATCTGTCAGTCCCAAATGATCCAGAACCTCTATGTATCAACTCATTTGACAATTGTATACAGTCATTAATCTAAACAATCATTTGTACCATATAAATGAACTTCCAAGATCAGGAAGAACCTAGAGGGGAATATCCATTTCCTAACTTCACAGCCACTATTTAATCAGCCAATATAACCCTTTCAAACCCCCATTAGAAGACATTATTTTAAAGATTATGTAGTTATTGGAGCTGAATACAGAAAACGAAAGCCTTTGTAACAATCCAGTGTTCTGGTACCTACCTTGCAAACATTTCAAGGTCTTTTGCAAAGTTCTCTGGAGAAAACACAAAGACACCACATATTTTAAAATGCTAACTCTGAGTTGGAAGAGATACATAATACAGTTCTGGCTGTTACAAAGGTGTAACTGCAAATTATCCAAGTTAGTTATGGGAAGTGACCATAACTTGTTATGACGTGCCACTCTGTTGCATCGACAGGCATCCCACACAGTATTTCCACATACATTTAAATGCATTTGCGAGGTCTGAAAACTAGAATCACTATTTCTTGTACTTCAAAAAATGCAATGCAAGAAACTATGCATCAGTGATACCTAGTTTCAGTGCTTTTTTTTTTTTTTAAAAGCATCGTTTCTCCAGCAATTGCTCGTGAACAAATAGATAATATGCAAACGTCTGTACCACACTGCCTGAAGGTGATCTCTGAAATAGCTGCAATGGTTTGTTTGCTGAATTGCATGTCTTTGTCTTCCGCAACATCCTGACACAGGCAGCCAACGGTGTAGTGAACGGCAGCCTTCAGCCTCTGAAAGGGTCCAAGGCAGTGACAGGTCAGTTCTCTGCAGGCTGATACGCTAGCGCTTGCGTAAATCATCAAAACTATTTAAAAGGACGCGACATAAGCGACCGTTTGCGGACCCTAACACACCCACCAGCGCCA